CCCCCCCCCCCCCAGCTGCCCCCCACTGCTCCCCCTGACCCCGCTCCCCCCGCCAGGCGGACACACTGAAGGAGAGGTACCAGAAGATCGGCGACACCAAGCGAGCCACGCCGGTGGAGGTGCTGTGCGAGAACTTCCCAGGTGAGGGCACCCAGCGTGGCCCCGGCCCGGCCCCACACCTCCCCCCCCCCCCCCCCCCCCCGACTGAGCCCCCCTGTCCCCGCAGAGGAAATGGCCACATACCTGCGCTACGTGCGGCGCTTGGACTTCTTTGAGAAGCCGGACTACGATTACCTGCGAAAGCTCTTCACGGATCTGTTTGAGAGGAACGGTTTCGTGTTCGACTACGAATACGACTGGGCTGGGAAACCACTGGTGAGCGGGGAGGGGGGGGCAGGGGGCAGCTGTTGCGTGAGAGCTGTTACACGGCATCTGAGGCTCCTCCTTGTGCCAGGGGACCAGCAGCAGTGGGCCGGGGGCCGAGCTGGGCGCTGGGGCTGCTTGGTCCCTTTGGCCGCAGGCGGTGGCACGGCTGACGTTGTGCTCCTTGCATCCCCAGCCCACCCCCATCGGCACGATGCACAGCGAGGTGCAGGTGCAGCCCCCGAGCAGAGACAAAGCACAGCCACACACCAAACACCAGGTGAGCGGCAGCGCGGCCTCCCCCGGCACCTCCTGCTCCTCACAGCCCCGGCGCTGGGGCTGCATCCCGGTGGCTGACCGGTCGCTGCGGGTGGGAGGGAGCAGCTGGGGCTGCCTGCGGGCTGCGGCGCTGCTGGACGGCGGCGGTGCGGAGGTGGGGGCGACGCCCGGTGTGATTCGCTGATGTGGTTCCGGTCTCCCCCGTCGGTGGGGCGGAGCTGGCGCCAGGAGGGGCCGCTCCGGAGCGTGGCCCCAGGCTGCGTGTGTGGGGCGGTGCTGGGGGACCGCAGAGCTGTGCAGGAGACGAGCGACCCTCAGCCCCGTCCCGGTGGCTGTGCAGCCCCTCGTGCCTTCAGCTGGGGCCCGGGGGAGCGGTGCTGTACGGGTGCCTGAGCGCTGCTGCCCTTTGGGACTCTCTGAGGCTGAGCGATGAGGGCTGAGGAGCGCGGCGCTCCATCCGCCTCCCTGCTCGAGGCCGCAGCGCTTCTACCGGGGACGCCAGGCCCCGCTGTGAGCTGCAGGTGGGGGCAGAGGCACCGCGTGGCTCCGGCCCTCCCCAGCTTGCCCCACAAAGCTCCCACAGCCCGGAGCCGCGCGCTCCTGCAGGGCTCAGAGCTGCGCCAGCGCCTCCCCCCGTGCTGCTCCGGCCCCGGCTTTTGCTTTTTTGCATGTCTTATTTTCTCTACTCCTTCCCGCCGCTCTTCTTCCCCCCCCCTTCGCCCCGTTGTCCCCCACCTCTCCCTTCTCCCCCCCCATCTTTTTCCTCTTTTCTGTTCTTTTGTTTCTTTTCATCCTCTACCTCCCGCCTGCCGCGAGCAGCCGCCCGATGGGACGGAGCAGTGGGATGCTCACGCTGGCGGGCAGCCGGCCGAGGAGCCCGGGGGAGCTCGCCTGGCAGCCGGCCGGCTCGGGGGGTCCGTGCAGGTACACAACCACGTGCTGAGGGCAGGGGGGCGCGGGGCAGAGCAGGCCGGCCGTGCTGCGCTGCCAGGACGCGGCTCTGACTGCGGGCCGTTCCTCCATCGCTGGGATGGGGCGACGGCTTGGAGCCCTGCTTCCCTCCGCCCTTCCTCGGCTCGAGGGGGCACCGTGCCTTGGACCCCCGGGTCCCCCCTGGTTGCGCTGCGCCGTTCCCTCTGTCTGCGCTTCGTCCCGTTGCTGCTGCTCGGCCCCGCTGCTCCGTGGGGTGGCCGTGGGTCGGCTCGCCCTCCTGCTGCCCTTCGTCCCCTGCTGGGTCGCTGCCCGCTCTTCCTCTGGGCTGGGGGTGATGGCTTGGTGGTCCCACAGTGCCGGGGCGGCCCGGCTTCACGGTGGGGCCTGCGGCACCGGGCTGCCATTGCCGTGCTGAGGGACCTCCGGGGCTGCGGGAGCCTTTGGGGGCTGAGCCCCTCAGCATGGCCATGTCGGGGCTCAGGGACGGTGGTGAAGCTGCTGGGGGATTTGCTGGGGGTTGTGGGGCGGCTGGGCGCACAGCAGCACAGGAGCAGCCGTCTGCCATCCCAGCCAGGGGAGCCGGGGCCCCCACGACGCGGGGCCGCCACCTGCAGCTGCGGGGCGAGGGATGAGGCCCTATGGGACGCCCCCCCACCCCACCCCACAGCACGGCCCCACGCTGACGTGTGCCTCCCTGCAGGTGATGAGCTCCACCAACGGAGAGCTGAACACGGACGACCCGACGGCGGGGCACTCGAACGCGCCCATCACAGCCCCCACCGAGGTGGAGGTGACCGACGATACAAAGTAAGGACGCCCCCAGCCCCACACTGCACCCCACTCGCTGCCCCGCCACCACCGTAAGGGACAGTGCGAGCAGTGCCACCATGCTTGGTGTCGCTGTGACCGGTGTCACTGTGGTGGTGCTGCATGCAGGGCCGTGGGACGGATCTGTGTGGGGCTCTCAGGGATCGCTGTGTGCCCCGACCCCCACGGGGCCCCCGTTCCCCTCACACTCAGGCACTGATGGTCCCTCCTTCTCCCCGTCCTTCTGTCCCTCCATCCCTCCACTGTTCCTCTGTCCCTCTGCTCCTCCATCCTCCTGTTCCTCTGTTCCTCCATCCATCCTTCCATCCCTCTGTCCCTGTCCCTCCATCTGCCCCTGTCCCTCCATCCTTCCATCCCTCCTCTGTCCCTCCATTGTTCTGTTCCTCCATCCCTCTCCACCTCCATCCTCCCATCCCTGTCCCTCCATCCCCATCCATCTGTCCGCAGGTGCTGCTGTTTCTTCAAGAGGAGGAAGAGGAAAAGCACCAAACGCCATAAGTGAGCGCGGGCGGAGCAGCGGTGCGGGGCTCCCCTCCCTCCGGCCGTGCCGGACGGTGCCCGCGATGCCGTGCGGTGGGAGGAGCCCGGCGCCCACACGCAGCACAGCGGCGCCTCCCCCTGCCCGGCTCGGCCGCTCTCGTGTCCCCGCATCCGCCAAAAAAGAGAAAAAAAAAAAGGTATAAAAAAAAGAAAAGCCCCGCAGGGAGCGCAGCGCGGGCCGCCCGTTGTGCCCGGCGGGACAGGAGCCGATCCTCACCGCGCTGCGCTGCGCACCGAACCCTGGGCTCTTTTTTTTTTTCTTTTTTTTTCTTCTTTTTTTTCTGTTGCTTCTTTGTCTCTTAAGTTAATTTAAAGTGAGTCTCAGTGCAGCGCGCCGAGTTGTCGGTCCGTCCTTCACCGCCATCCGCCGCGTCCCGCCATGCGCTCGGCACGGCGCTGCGCCCCACGGCTGCGGGTCCCGGCGGGCAGCGGGGCGGGCCGAGCTCCGCGGCGCCGTGCGGCGGTCGGACCCCCATAAACGGTTAAACGGGGGCACGGCGGGTCCCGCGGTGGCGCCGGGGTGGCGCCGAGGGCACCGCAGCCCCGCACCCAACCGCGGCGACCCCCGTGGGTGCGCACGGAGCCCCCGGACCCCAACCGAGCGACGCGCCGCCGTGCGCATCGCTCACCGCACGGGGGGGGGGGGG